AGAATAGTTATATTTTATGTTTTTTACAATACCGAGCATCCTGTTTGAGGGATCTGTGTGTTGTCCCAGGTTTTTGGTATTGAAGTGGAGCTTTGAACTGAAGACCTTCTGCAGAGAGAAATTCAAATTTACTTTAATGATGTCATTTTTATAGAAGTTGAAAAAACAAGGCCAATTTTATTTTTGTTTAAAATTAAGTTTACAACTTTCCTGGATCCAGCATCAGCTCTTGTCAAGCTTTATGAAGCTGTACGCTACAACAACAATATTGTTTTTCATTTGTTTGCTTTTGGTTAGTGAGCTTTGTTTGACTCTAAAGACCAAGACAATATCAGTACTTTGGCATGGTTACCTATCAGTATTGAATAGAAATTACGTTAGATTCAAGACAATATGCTGGTCTCTAGAGATCTTGGTGTAAAAATCAAATCCCATCTCCAACTGGAATAAAGATGACAAGAAAGTTCAAGTATCTAATGAATTTAGAAAAAAGTAAGGAAGTCTGGTGGAGCTGTTTTGGGGATGACATACCTGACTTTCTTTTTTAGGGCATCTGCAGCAGAGACAAACCGTGGCCGTCTACAAACAGGCCTTTTGGTGCCGTAACGCTTGTTTGTCTGCATCATGTCTGAGGGGCAAAAAAGTTTAAACTTGCACAACAATTATAAAGCCGATTTTATATTTTAACATGCAGAAGTATGCATGGTTCCCTATTCTTTGTTTACCCTGGAAACTGAGTGAATATGACTGTGAACCAGCAGTGAACTCCACCACGTCTTTATCATTGGCCAGAAACTTCTCCTCCAGCTTTGCACTGTTGATGTCTGCTGTTTTATGTCCACCAATCTGCAAAGCAAGAGAACAGTAAACATGTTTTTAACCTTGAAGGAAACCTGCATCGGCATATGAACAATGAACAGTTCATAAGAAAAGGACAACTGCCAACCATAGGGATGAGGGAAAAATTGATACACCATAGTATCTTAATATTTTGCATGGTAATATTGTAACACTACAGGGACACCAAATATGAATACTTCATGAATTAAATTAAAATATTCTGGAAATACTATGAACAAGAGTAAAAATTGGTGGCTGCCTGGTGATTTATTGATTTATTTATTCATATTCTGTGACCAACTACAACTTGTAGTGAATACATTTTTGCCCAGAGCTTGAGGATGTTGCACACTTGTGACCACGTTTGAGCGCAAGGTTGTCTGACAGGAGGCAAACTTACTGAAACCAGCTGCAGTCAGACTTGGACTGACTCTAATCACTCACAGAGAGATTGGCTAAGGTTTACAGATAGCTTCTATCTAATTTATAAATGCAGACATATTACCACTTTAAGATGACAAAGCAACAAGGTGATATATACCAGTTTTTAAATTGTGTTGCTAGGCCACGTAAAAACAGAGTCATGACAAACTATATATACGCGGCGTTTTTCCTGAATAATTTCGTCACGTTTACTGTCTAAGGACAGCGCAGCGAGCCCTCTCTGGCTATGACCTTATGTCAGACCTGCAGGTATCAGGCTGTGATGTTCTCCTTTATAGTGGACAGAAATATTTGGAGTGGCATCTTATTGAATGCAGAACAGCTGATCGTTCTGTAAATAGTTTGAAATGGTTATTTAAAAAAGGGTAAAGGCTGCAAATAACTTTGTTTGCAAAACTTGTGCATATGATTTTAAAACTGACAATTTATATTTGTTTTTAAAGTTATGAAATATGATTCGATAAACATGTTTTTGGTTGTTACAGTAAAAAATAGAACTTTTTCTACTCGGATTTTATGTTTTTTTGTCTGATTTTAGATCAATTGTGTTAATACAGTATGTCAAAATGAAAACATAACTGTAAATTCAGACACGTGAGGTTGTGCTGAAAAGGATGATACCAAACAAGGCAAAGGAAATAGTTAAAGTGAATTGTTAAATGTTGTAATTTTTACAACAACAGAGGTCCAGCTGCAGTGTGTGCAAACGGCATCAGCATGGATGGATGGAGATGCGTTTCCAGCAAGCTGCAACTTCACTGTGTGTGAAGATGACTTTTGAGGAGACTGTCTGAGTGACATTTGCCATGTTTGGAGTAAAATGGCAAGATGAGACAGTGGGAAAACACAGGACAAAGCTGAAGAGAACTGTCTGCCATTGGACTGCAACGTGGGAGAGGAGAACGGAGTGAGAGGAGCAGGTGAGCACACAGAGGAAGGCTGTCGTTTAGTGTGGGAAATCAAAATTTGGGTAAGCAATCCTGGGAAAAAAGCAAACTGCTTTAAGTGGGAAAATTGAGAAGGAGTCTGGACTACAAAATGAGAAAGGTGCACAAAACACACAAAAAGCATTAACCATACCAACCCCACATACACATACAATGACACTCATGAAGACCAGACAGCATCTTAAGCATGAGATTCTGTTTGTCATCTTGTCCAAGTCACTAGTAAGATGAAAAGTGATACATAGACTAGTGGACTGAATATTGTAGGAGGACAAATGATTGCATCATAGGGAGAAAACAGAATGCTGATGAGAGGTCTTGATTGAGTGAGCTGATTGTTGAGTTTCTGGTGTGTGAAGAAGTTTTAACATGGCACACATTTGATTACATGAGAAGAAACTCATTGCGTGATGAGACAACAGGGTTATGCTGTGTGTTGTGTGTGGCTGATTGGATGAATGTTTGAGATCAAACTAGCTGATGATTTGTCTTTTGTTGCAAGGTTGAGCCTGCCAATTAGGTTTGGTATGATCCCCCCCCCTTACTTTTTATTTTGTTACTTTCATAGTGCACTGAAAGTTTTGTTTAATATTCTCTCTCATCTAAGAGGATCTGAACGTTTGAATAGGGAGAACTACAACATGTTGTTGCGAACGGTTGCAAAGTGAGTTTCTCCAAAATGAAAACGGGCTCAGGAGAAAGCCACTTGTTTGGGACAATTAGGAAGCGAGTCCCTTTCTAAAAGGATTCAGCGAGGTAATCCAGTCTAAATTCTGTTTCTTTTTGAAATGTCATCGTTTTGCTGAGGGTGGAAACAAAATGCGACGATAGGTTCCACTATCAGCAAAGAAAAAAAAAGAAACAATCGATGAATGAATAATGAGTGAAAATAAAAAAATGGGGAACTGACTGACTGGTAAAAGCTGACAAGACTGACTGACACCACTATTCAAGGTTACCCCCATTCAGATGACAAAGGAGTGGATGTATCTCTGTGTGTGCCTCTTGTTGCAGGAGCAGCAGGACACCACAGGAGGAAACTTGGGTCACATGACTATGTGAACTCTGCAAATTTAACCTTTTTAGTTGTAATTTTTCTGGATGTTTTTGAATTTACCAAAGGTGTGTTATTCATCACCTTGTGTTGCTCACAGAGATCACTGTGAGAAAGAGCGTATACACCTGCGCAGCACTAACATTTACATTTCGTTTCTACAGCAGAGGGTTAATCATGTGATTTGATCATGTGATTTACAGCAGGACACACAACTTAATAATGTTTTTCTACCACAGGATTACTGAGATTTTGTGTGTCAAGAAAACTGTGGTTACAGGCTGTGTGTTGGTGATGAAATTACACTGTGTTGTTGAGAAAATGTTGAAAATTACAGAGGAAGAAGTGAATACAGTGTGAGATATACTGTGTTGAAACCAGTGTTACTTCTGTTTTATAGCAGAGTGTTAACTTTATGACCTTTTACAGCACCTCTGGAACCTGTTGACTTAGGCCCGACCTCCAGGATGATCCGTGTGTTTGGCTAATGTTTGTTTTTCCTTTAATTAAAGCTGCTTGTAAAGGATTCAGCACAGACAGACAAGTAACGATTGAACAGATGTGCAGTGGTTACTCAATAGTTACATGGGGCTCATTATCTGACCACTATTGAGCTCATGGTGAGTGACAAACTTAAGAAAAGTCACTGATTACAATGTGGAATGAAGTTCAGATGTTCAATGATTTGGAGCAAATTATGGAAAAATCAGGGATTTAATGAGTTTAAGTAACCCTGCAATTATACTTCTCTCTGTGATGCTGAATACTTTATTACTCTTATGCTACAGTTGGTTGCAAATGTGAGTTTGTTTTAACTTAAAGACTTTGTCTTCTAGGATACAGGCTCCGGGTGCAGCTGGGAGTTAAACAATCTTAACATTTAACCTCTGACTAATGTATTGACAGGGTTACAGGTTTGGAGTGGAGCTGCTCCAAGAGGGAAACCCTGGAGAATTTTTTTTTAGAAGAGAATGTGCAGCATTTTTGTGCATGTCTCATTGTGTGGAGTTGACACATGACGAGAGCCGTGTGGCACAAGAAGAGTGTCAATTTTAAATTTGCAGGTACCATGAGGAGAAGCGAGTAAGGAAGAGCGTCGACAAGATGGAAGCTGAGGCCAGGAGAGACGCTTCAAGAGGACCAGTGAGAAGCAGGGACCATCTGCAGGACAGCTGAAAAACCACAATGGGTTGCACCACTGGGCTTCTAGAAGATCGTCATGAGGAGACTTCGCACAGCAAAATCTTAAATAAAGTTTCGACGTTGACGTTGAAGAAGACAACTAAGGTGTACGACGTGCTCTGCCTTAAATCGCCAGCGCGTTGGAACAGAAACTGAGGGATGAAGGGAGCGTGCCAAGCTCCAAAAGTGACAGCGCAGCGGGGGACCAGCGATGGAATTGCGGCTCTGTGTGAAGCACAGATGCTAGGAGACTGGGAGATAGTTGACACCACTTTTCCCAAGGATGAAGATCATCTAAAGGTGTCACTTTGCCATGCAGATTTGATGCTCTGCAGAGAAGCCTTCTGCGAGGGAGAGATGTAAACAGAGGAGCCTTTTGTCTACATTTACACATCGTGTCAACTTCTCTGAGCTGGTTGAAGTTTTGAGCCATGGGTGGACATGACTCAAAAAGGGGGGAGAAGATCATAAACAACTTGATCCAATTTCCTTTACAAAATCTTTTTCTGCAGTGACAACAGGAAAGGAGAAGAGTTGTAAGTGCAGATGATTCACCAGTTGACTCTAACCCCCACAGGATGCCTACAGTGAGAAGATTTTGGGGGGTTGATAGGGGTCATAAAGAGGAGTGTTGACCAGGCTACAGCTTTGAAGTTAGCTGAGAGCCACATGGACAAACAGTAAAATCAACTGATGTGTTTGAATGCCTGTATACAGCTGGATTGTAGTGACATATGATTTGAGAATGTTTGACTGTTGACATTCATTTGTTTACTTGCAGGATGTAGTTTACTGTGTATGAGATGGAAGAACATAGTAGTTTAGAACATGTATTAATGGTGAACCTTTGCTGCAATAGGAGGTGAATGACGGCAGGAGCTGTGTGACATCTAAATCTACACTGACACTGTCAAAAACAAGTAGTGAGAAAATACTACACAGGAATAATCTGGAGCATAAAAATAACAAAACAGGAGGGAAATGTTAAAGTGAATTGTTAAATGTTGTCATTTTTATGCTTCCCATCTCTACATTGTTTCAAACTGTGCGATCAAAGACATTCCTTTGTCTCACCACCTCTCCAGCCACTCTGTGCTGGGGGAGGTTTTATTGTAGATACATCCTATATGAAAGATCTGTTTCTTGTGTTGTAAGCTTCCAGCTTTATGATCATTTTGGTGAGCAGGAGGTCACACAAACGCACCCCCATGACACACGCATTCTCACATACACACACGTTTAAAACATGCTGCATATGAACAGTGCTAATAAAAATGCAGAGAGGTCGACAGTGATCACTGAGTATTTTTAAGAGCTTGTTCAGATTAAACAGAACAAGATGAGAAGCATTAAAACATGTAATGAACACAGTAGAAGTTTGGACCCAAAAGCAGGGTTCATACATCATCACTAACAACCAGAAACAGTTTTCTGACAGTGGGAGGAGCTATTATTTAAAAAGCTTCAGAAGTGTGTTAAAGGTGGTCCATTTTGTATGATTGACATCACTCATAATTGTCCTGAAAAAAAAATGTTGTGGGTCCTTATGGGTTAATTTTTAGCAATCTGCCAAACTTTCTGCCAACACTCTGTAGTTACTCACAGCAGATGCAAACATGTTCCAACTCCCATCCTGCCAGTACCAAAGCCACTCGGTGGTGTGGATGAAGGTCGGCTCGATCACCGAGTTTTCTGTCGAGAGTCGACGCACTTTGTTCTGTCCAAACGTCATCGTGTCAAAGTGCACGGCCGGGCTGGTACTGCTGCAAAAAAACAATCAAGAAAGCATTACCATCAGTTCTACCAAAACCTTTGTGCACTGAAACACTCAATGAAAGGATTTTCCTGTAGCAACAGAAAATCTTGTCTCACCTCATATTTTCTCTTTGTTTTACAATTATGTTAAAGTTTCAAATTATTATTATTATTTTTTAAAACTTTGTCAAAGTTTAAAATGAGCATCTGTTATTTTATCAGTGTATATATGAAAGAAAATATGGAAAAGCTTAATAGTTCCACTTTATCTAAAAACATTGAGATGATTGTGTCACGGCCAGGCGGAGCAGCTGCACTGTCTCTCTTCCTCTCTCTCTCCTCTTCTCTCTCGCCGGGGCGGACTCACCGTGGGTTCACGCCCTCGGGAGATGAGACACCTGCGTCTCATGAAGATGATCAGCATTTAAGCCAGGAGGTGACTGCTGTTCCTCGCTGGATCGTTGTCTACCACGCGTTAGTGAAGCCAAGCTACTGCAAGTCGGGTTAAGTGTGTTTCCTTTGTGCGTTGTATTTAACCCCATCTTCCTGTCTACAGAGCTCCCTGGATTTTCCCCCCGTGTGATTCCCGAGTGGCAGTGTTGGAGTCTTGTATACACACCTGGTGAATTGTAAATAAATCTTGCTTGTGTGCATCTGAGCCCGGAGTCCTGCGCTTGAGTCCTCCTCCAAACCGTAACAGATTGTGTAAAATAAATCTCTGAAGAAGTTCAATTGTGTGAGTACCTGTAAGAGTTACTGGGGTCACAGTAGTCTGCCATCGGTACGGCATCTTGTCATGAGCTTTATAACATCGATCTAAGGAGAAAGAAGAAAGACAGCTGATCAAAGTCAAGAAAGAACTACATTAAAGCCTCAAACACTTACTAACCATGACTCTCTCACCTTCATGTTTGCAGTGACATTTAATGAAGTACATGCAGATCCCTGTTTTATCTGAAAGAAACAGGAGATATTTCACACACCTTGTTTGGACAGCAGTTTTAGTTCATCTCCCCATAGAAGTGTTTCCAGATTTACCTCTAACGGTCCTCTGTCTCTTGTTGTGCCCTTTGTTGGCTTTTGCAGCTTCATCGTCAGCTGCATGAATGTCACTTGAGAAACGGGCGTATTCTCGGTTGACCGGGTTACCGTCTTTCCCTCTATCCCAACGGCGTGGGCGCTTTTTGCTCTTACCAAAAAGACTGCTTTCATCAGTGTTGTTGTCATTAGCAGAGACTTCACCACTGGAGCAGTTTCCTCTGTGGACTCTATCTTCCCTGTTGGTTCCAGCCAGTCTCAAAGCCTGTTTATTTGCATAAGCAGCTTTCAAGGACTGAAAGAGTGTGTCAGGTACGCCTCTAGCTTGCAAAGCTCTGAATGGCTGTGGAGCATTAAAATCGTGGTTCTTCCAGCAGCTGCATTCACGGCTGATGTAGTTCTCACAGATGTGGAGCCTCCTGCAACCATCACCATCCCGACACCTGCCGAACTCTCCATCACCATTGTTGTAGTTGTAGCATATCTGATGGAGTGAAGAAAAGAAAAGATGGCTACAATCATAGCCTGTATATAAAAGATGGATATGGCCAATGTTATATCCATTATTTATGTTAACTAGCTATAAGCAAGAGGCGGATCTGACTGAGCAACTGAGGACATGTAGCACCCACCTGTAAGTAGGTATAACCCAAAACCATACTTTGCTTTATCACAGCAATAAATGCTCGATAAATTAAAGTTAGCAAAATGCTATCTAAATAAATAAAATGTGAAACTGGTGCCCAAGATCCTAGACGTATTGGGAATATTTTTACTGAGGTCACCGGTCAATGTGGGATCATTTTCTTATTAACTTGTTTGCAACAGAAAAACTCTCTCAAGCTTTTTAATATTGTTGTATTTTGTGAAGTTGGTGGGAAGGTTGAGCTGGATATCAGCATGACAAGAAAATGTGTCTAAAGAAAGGCTGCTTGATCAGCAGATCCAGTATTGATTGAAATTCAACTTAAGAGTGCTCGGTAGTAAGACTCACAGCAGGAAGGAGTGTGTGGTCACTCTGCAGCAGCAGGGTGCACAGCTCTTCTCGGCTCAGGCTCTCCAGCTCATGCTCCCTCAGAAGTCTTTGGTTATGCTCAGACGTCAGCTCATGGGAGAAGCTGCAGCCCCTCCTGTTGTAACAGAATCCACACAGCTGATTCGTGACTGTGAGTGCTAGCATCCATTTGCTCAGTTAAGAAGAAAAAACCAAAAATAAAAACAGTGTAATACATTTAAATGAGCCGATGTCTCTCACTGTGGGATGATTATGAAAGCTTATCTGTCTGGAACAAAGTCAGCTGTTTTTGAGGCTGTTAGTGCTTAAAACCAAAGGGTTATATCAAACAACAGCCTAATAAATCATGGTAGTAATATGACATAAATGTCAAACTTAGGTTTTGGGACATACGTTTTAATGGGATTAGTCCAATACCAGCTTTTTATATATAGCTGGGTAGAACTAGAATCCCTTTAACATTTAAAATTGAGACAAAAAATTCAACCAAACACACTGTAAAGCCATTTTCTCTTTTTTCTAACTGCTAAGCTAAGCTGATGTTGTAGCTGCACATAAAAAAAAACATCAGAGAAAATATGTCTAAGGGATTTTGTTTTTTCAAGAACAGCTCTATAAATTCTCTGTAGGCTCCTCTTGTTTATCTGTTTGTGTCTTCATTTCTATTCCTGTTATTTGAGTTATTACAATATATGTGGCAGGTGTGTGGCAATGTCCAAGGCAAATATTGCATAGTGTTCCTCCCAATTACAACATGGTTCAGTCCACTGTGTCAAAACCTCGTTTGTTGTCAGTAGCAACCGATGCAGATATCAGGTTTACACGATAAGAGTTTGAAATCCTGCCTCCACCTGAGCTGTCAGATGCAGCTTTCTGTATACAGATACAGTGTGCAGAAATAATAATACTCCAATGCAGTAAACTCTATAATTTATTTTAAGTCCAGCATGTTTACCTGAGCTGGCTGAACTCACAGAATCCGAAGAGGAAGTTTTTGCACAGGTGCAGACCCCTGCACGTCCCCGGGCAGTCTTTGGCTCTGCAAAGTCTCAGGCGGGTCCTGGCCACCACCTTCTCCTGTCCGTTTGGACAACACCGAGCAAATTTCTCTCGGTTCGAAATGATCTCCGACAACTTCGTGGGATCGCCGGAAAATAGATTATACACTAAATCCTCCGTGTTGACTGCTCCTTGGCCGGCGCAGATCATTCTCAGTATTTCTGTCGCCATCGTGTCCGAGCTCTGCCTGCGTTAACTTCCACCTGTGAGACCTGACTACAGCTACATGTGAGGAGGAAAACTTCGGTATCATTTCTGATGATTGGAAAGCGAAACTGAACTATTTCTATCTTGGACTGATGCTGTAATGCTGCTGATTTCCACTTGGGGGCGTCACCGCGCTGTATGATCTCCTAATGCATCCCACACCTCGACTGAACAGGGAAAGAAAGAAGGCTTTCTTCCGCTTCACAGCTGAACAGAGTGAAGAGATTTCCAGTAATGCTATAACAAAATCAAGTCTCATTAATTTTATCTAAATGCTTTCTGCATTCTTCTCTTCAATGAGTCTGTAATCAGATTACTGTGTTTTTACAGTAGGTGTTTAAGATTACATATGCCACTTTTAAAAATCCGATTATTGTAATCCCATTATTGCCATCTGTTAGTCCCACCAGCTTGAAACATGCAGCAGAACGGCTCCTGCCTGCAGTTTGTTTCCATCTCAAACATGCAAAAAGAAGGATTGGGCTTATTGCCTATTATAATCAATATGTGCTGTATTTTAACCGGAAATTCATGTAAAAATTTACTGTCGACTTTTAAATTGATTTTCTCATTTAGATGAACTTCCAGCACATTATAACGGATATGTTTCATTAGCACTGGAAACCAGCTCACCAGGTCTTCGCCTCCAGCTGCAGGAGGAACATTTAAAGTTCCCTGGCATCACTCATCTGCATTTTCTTGTTAACGTGCAGCACATTCCCCACCAGCTTCATTGCTTCCTGTCCCCCTCCCTTACTCCGAGGAGTATAAACATGTTGGAAGTGATTTTTCCATTCCTCCCCCCCCTTTTTTATTGCCTGTCACTTCTTCCACCATCTGCTGCCACCAGAAACTATTATGCTTGTTACTCTGAAAAAACAACATTTTCTTTAGTATCATAAAGGAATACAGACAAATCTGACCAAGAGGATCACAATGACCAGGTTAAGTAGCCTACTATATAGTCATTTGGTCAACAGTCTAAGATGCATAGCACCTTACTTGATTACGATGTTTAAATCAAATTATTTCGGAGGACATTACCTGGTTCAAAGAACCAATTTTACAGTAACTATATCCTATATAATCGATCGGTTTCCTTCTTCAATATCAACTGAATTTTGATTATCTGGGGGCAGAAAAACAAGCTATTAGTGCTTACAGATGACTAATAACAATGACCAACTGTAGTAAATCCAGTAGTTCAATCTAGTATTTTGGACTGCTAACCCAAATATTCAAGAACCAAATGAAATCAAAACACTTGACTTGACTAAAAAAGAGGCTGAGCATTTTATGTGCCTGAGGACAACTGCAGAGTGGTGTTAATTACCAGTGTATTTGTCATTACTTCATATTACACATACCCAGTTTGTGCCCTGACGTTTGACCACCAGTGATATGATCGGTAACCACTCTTGCCTTCCATTTTGAATGGAAGTGTATTACCCGACCAGCAGGCGAAAACCCTTTTTGGTCTTGTTTTGTTTGCTAGGAAAATGTTGGAACCCACAGTTTGAATGGAAGACACCAACTTATAAGCAAACACTTGCCAGTAGAACATATATAGCCTCCCCTACCGATATATTGGTAGGGGAGGCTATATCAATCGTGGATGTTAATTGACCGATATTAAAATAAATAATAATAAATAAATAAAAGAAGATTATTTTTCACTGTCACTCTATATTTGTAAAAAGTCATAAACAACAAGACATAACGAATGTTAGGAAACTATATGTGTGTCTGTGTCAAAGAAAAAACAGTGAGTGATATATCCGATTTTTAAAGCGCTAAATATCAGTATTGGTCTTAAAAATCCTCTATCAGTCTGGCTCTAGTCAAATCTTTTGTTGGTAGTGAAACTGTGAAAAGTGCAAGACAAACCAGAAATGGAGACCATTTGCCATCTAAGTAAAAGTTGCACATTTTGAATGCACACATCCTCTGTTTCCAGTTTGTGTTGCATTTTTCAAGCTTTACTACCACTCAGCTAGTTGGCGAGTGGGTGCCAAGTCAATCGCCTCACGATCACATGGAGGTGTTTGGTTCAATACTCACTTTTTGACTTCTTTGTCGCCATCAGATTTCACTGAGCAACAGCCAAGAATTTGTAGAAAACACTCACAAACCGGTTATACCAATAGGGGTTCAGCAGGAAGATGTGTAGAAAATGGCAAGAGATACTGCCTGATAACTGATTTAGACTTATGCTTCCTTTCAATGTAAATCTATGAATCTCTAAAAATTCAAATTCAAATTCAAATTTTATTTGTCACACACACACAACCATACACAGTATGACATGGGGGTGAAATGCTTGTAGCTGTACAATGCCCGACCATTAAATGACAGAAGAAAAGTTTTACAATATTTACAATTTACTACAAAAATTTACAAATTAACTTAGGAATTTACAGTAAAGAATGTGCAAATAGCAGAAGAGATTATAAAGATAAGGATTATAAATTATAGGAATTATAGGATTATAGGAAATGTGTGGTGGTGCGTGTGGTGACTGTGTGGAGAGTCCAGTCCTACACCTGGTTCAGGCCCGAATAGCCTGGGGGAAGAAGCTCCTCCTCATTCTCTCTGTTTTGGCCTTAAGGGAGCGGAAGCGCTTCCCAGACCTCAACAGTGAGAAGAGTCCATTGTTGGGATGGGAGAGGTCCATCATAATCTTCCTAGCTTTGGACTTGCACCGCTTGGTGTAGATGGACAGCAGGTCAGGGAGCTCTGATTGAATGATGCGTTCGGCCGAGCGCACCACTCTTTGCAGATCTCGTCTGTCCTGCTTGGTGCTGTTCCCAAACCAGGTGCAGATGTTTGCCAGGAGTCTTAGATTAAGATAAGATAGATAGAACTTTATTAATCCCTCGGGTGGGTTCCTCTGGGAAATTCGATTTCCAAAAAAGCACAGCACGACCGAAGTTACAGAGTTACAGAATATTATATATATATACACACACACACACACACACACACACACACACACACACACAACCAACACACAACCACATATATATAATACAGAGACAATATAAATAAAATATACGAAGGGGATAAATAGAATAAATAGGAATAAAAAATAAAAATACAAGTGAATTGCACATTTCAAGTATTGAGGTCTATTGCACTGTTGACTATTTACAAAAGTATTGCACAGTGAGGTGAAGAGGCACTACAGCTTAGTTGTTCCCCCCTCCTTTGTCCTCCTGTTTCCCCTCCCTCTCCCCTCCAGAGAGGAGTTAAACAGTCTGATGGCGTGTGGGACAAAGGAGTTTTTAAGTCTGTTAGTTCTTGTCTTGGGGAGAAGCAACCTGTCACTGAACAGACTCTTCTGGTTGTTAATGGCCGTGTGCAGAGGATGCCTGGCATTGTCCATAATGTCCATCAGTTTCTTTAGATGTCCTTTTCTCTGCCACTGTCACCAGAGTGTCCAGCTTCATGCCGACCACAGAGCTAGCCCTCCTGATCAGTTTCTCCAGCCTGGATGAGTCCTTCTTTGCTGTGCTGCTCCCCCAGCACACCACAGCATAGAAAAGTACTCCAGCAACCACCGACTGGTAAAACATCCTCAGGAGCTTCCTGCAGATGTTAAAAGACCTCAGCCTCCTGAGGAAGTACAGTCGGCTTTGGGCTTTTTTATACAGGTGCTCTGTGTTGCATGACCAGTCCAGTTTATTGTCCACCCACAGCCCGAGGTACTTGTACTTGTTGACCACCTCCACCTCCTCCCCCTCTATCTGAACCGGCAGTGGACCTGTCTCTGGACCTCCCGAAGTCCACAACCAGTTCCTTAGTCTTTGAGGTGTTGAGTTGCAGGTGGTTTGTGTGACTCCATGCGACAAAGTTCCTCACCAGACTTCTGTACTCCTCTTCCTGATCATCCCAGATACACCCCATGATGGCTGTGTCGTCTGCAAACTTCTGAATGTGGCATAATTCAGAGTTGTAGCAGAAGTCAGAGGTGTACAGGGTGAAGAGAAGAGGGGACAGCACAGTTCCCTGTGGTGCTCCTGTGCTGCTGACCACAGTGTCAGACGTGATGTCCTTCAGCCTGACGTACTGTGGTCTGTCGGTGAGGTAGTCGGAGATCCAAGCCACCAGGCAGGCAGGTTTAGTTTAGTTTACAGGTTTAGTTTACAGAATGAATGTCATAAAGTCATCAGAAAAATGTGTTTACTGACGTCACGGTGCAGGGGATCTCTGTTGGTGCGTCCCATTTGAAAAACAGAATCATTCAGCTGGAATGCTCACTCAAGCCGGACTTCCATCTAGGAAAGTTAAAGCAGCACCAATGCCTACTTAATAAAAGAAGATCACAGGAGTGCACGTAAGCTTTAATAACGCTGGAATACTTGAAAAGTGCACCACTAATCTTAGGCATTTGTGACTTGCTAAATAAGCCACACATTTCCTTGCTTTTTTGACTTTATTACTGCTCTTAACTCAGTGTTACATCACACCCCCTCCAATATCTGACTTCAGAGCTAAATGGTATGAATTTGCAACCAAGGGAGTAGAGTGTAAAAGAGTAAGCCACAATAAGTTACGACACTAAAACAAGATTGTTTTCAAACTGCATTGTCATAACCCATATTAGATTTTTAAATCTCTAAATATCCGTTCAGAGGAGTAGCCCCCTGCTGGCCATTGGAAAGAATGCAAGTAGAACACACGGTCCACGTAACATATCATGGTGTGTCTGTGAAGATTCTCAGTCATCCAGGTCATCGTAGTCAAAGGAGCTTGCAAAGAAATGCGTCTGGACTTCTTTAAGTTGCTTGAAGACGTTTCACCTCTCATCCGAGAAGCTTCTTCAGTTCTAAGGTCATGATGTAGTCCGAAAACATTAGAAATTCTGAGTTCAATATGGAAAGCCCCCCTCAAGTCAGAGTAGCACCAGCAATCTCCAGTTAACCTGAGTTAGCACTGAGCTTAAATGGTAGCGAAACCGTAAATCTTTTAATCTGTGCTACCAATGTTGTGTATTTGTGACTCACTGAATGCAGGGATGATTTTAGGCAAAAATAAAAGAGGCAGAATGCTGTTTTGGCTTAGAACCAAACAAATCCTGTTTTTCATCTCTTTTTCCAAACACAGAGCTCTGAGGTAGCTGTGTCCATTTTCAACATACAGTCTATATGCTTTTTCTCATAAAGCTAAAAAAGCAAACGTAAAAAACCCCCAAAACAGCCCAGTGAGGTGTGGCCTAGTTCTTTGAATCACTTGACAACAAATACTTTAAAATTCTTTTTAGTCTTATGTTTGTTTCTTATAGTATTACTACAGTCACACCTTTCGCACAAGGGATTTAAAAAGTATGAGTTAAGCAGAAGTGATTTTACAGTAAATGTGAACTAATTCATCTCATATTAAATCCATGTATTCCTTCTACGCTCACTCGCATTTTTGTGTCTGCCTAATTAAAGCGTGAGGCTTTAGCATGTTGTGTAACCGCATTTGCCTTAAGCTTTGATTTAAAAGAAAAGGCAAATAAAAAACAAAAACAAGTCTGTCTTTTTAGCCTCTTCGCCTGCAGTTGTGTGTGTAGCAACGCGACCTGCCTGCGATTTCCTGCTTTGGGTTTCCCTTTAAAAGGGGGCAAGGCTCAATGCTGGGAATTCACGTCATTTCGCCGTTTTACACACGTCCAGATCAATG